TTAGATTGCAGACACATTTCCTGCCATTTGATTCCACTCATTAATTCAGATCATTACCCTCCCTACCTGCCTTACCATGAAAAGTCAAAAACTTAAATGAAATGGTTTTAACTTCTTGAAATATGACATGTGACAGCCCACTATCCTGCTTTATCAAAACATTGTACTTAACAAGTTTTATATAATACATCTACAAAATTGATAGCTACCATAATATTTATCATGGCTAAACTATGAAGAATTCCATTGTTGGCATAATTCACATTTCACATCAAGGTTAATATTTCTTATGAGCTTGCAATGACTGCATGGACAAGCAGAAACTGCTTCCTCCCATTTTCTCCCTTTTCCTCCTGAAGGAAATGATGAATCTTCTTTGTACTATGAGTGTCCACCACACCATTTTCCAAAGGGTCATCTGTTCAGAGTGACCTTGACATGATTTGTCAGCAAATTTAACAAATACATTTGATTCCCCAATCATTCTTTGTGATTTTACTTTATGCAATGCCTTTTTATTTTATTTTTCTTTAGGCTGCCAGTACTTAAAGAGGTTTTACGTAATTGGAGAAGGTGTGGGGAGATTTACTAGAATTGGTGACTTCAGTTATGTTGAGAGATTGGAGGAGGTGTGCTTAGAGGAGCTAAAGTTAAAACGATCCTTAATAGGGTGTTTGAAACCAAAGAGTAAGTCCATAAGACAAAGGGGCAGAACTAGGTCATTCAGTCAATTGAGACTGCTCCACCATTCAGTGAGATTGTAGCTGCTCCGATAATCCTCAACTCCACCTTTCTGCCTTTTCCCCATAACCCTTGATTCTCTTACTGATTATAAATCTGCCTATCTCAGATTTGACTATACTAAATGACCCAGCCTCGAAAGCCCTCTGTGGTAAAGAATTTCACAGATACACTACCTTCTGAGAGAAGAAATTTCTCCTCATCTTTGTCTTAAATGTGCAACATCTTATTCTGAGATTATGCCCTCTGGACCTAGACTCTCCCATTAGGGGAAGTAAACCTCTCTCTATCTACTCTGTCAACTTCCCTAAGGACCTTATACATTTCAATATGATCACCTCTCATTCTTCTAGATTCCAATGAGTACAGGCGCAACCTACTCAACCTCTCCTCCTAAGACAGTTTTCCATATCAGCCTGATGAACCGTCTCTGGTTTACCTCCAATGCCTGTACATCTTGTTTTAGATAAGGGGCCCAAAATTGTTTACATTATTCCAGCTATGGTCTGACTCATGCCTTGTATAGGTTTAGCAAGATCTCTGCATTTTTATATTCCATTCTTTTTGAAATAAAAGCCAACACTCCATTTGTCTTCCCAATTATCCACTGAACCTGGATGTTTATTTGTGTGATTCATGGATGAGGACTCTCAAATCCCTCTATTCTATGGCTTGCTGCAGTCTTTCTCTATTTAAACAACATTCAGCTCCTCTATTCTTCCTGTCAAAGTGCATAACTTCATATTTTCCCAACATTCACATTCACATTCACATTCCACCTTCCATGTTTTTGCCCACTTGCTTAACCTGTCTATATCGTTCTGCAGAGATAGTAGGAACTGCTGATCCTGGAGAATCTGAGATAACAAGTGTAGAGCTGGATGAACACAGCTGGCCAGGAAGGGTCCAGACCCGAAACGTCAGCCTTCCTGCTCCTCTGATGCTGCTTGGCCTGCTGTGTTCATCCAGCTCTACACCTTGTTATCTTATGTCCTTCTGCAGATTCTTTGTGTCACCCTCACCACTTGCCTATGCCTATTTTTGTGTCATCCGCAAACTTGACTGGTAATACAATTAATTTTCGTATCTGTCATTAATATGTGTTGTAAATAACTGCTGACCCAGAACTGATCCCTGTGACACAACATTATTAACAGGTTGCCATCCTGAAATTGCCACTGTTACCTGAACTCTTTGTCTTCCATTTGATAGGCAATCCTCTATCCAAGCTAATATATTACCTCTAACACCGACATGCACACTCATCTTATTAAGCAGCCTAACATTGATGGTTTAAATAAGTAAAATCTGTTAGTGGTGGCAGAAGCATAAAAAAAAGAACATAGCTCATTGACAAAAGATCAGAGGGGCAATTAGATTTTTTTATGGACAGAAAGGGTAATTTTAACCTCGTGGGATTGGGTGCAATGCTGATTTTACACCACGTCTGATTTGCATTTGCATTAGAATCAAAGATTAGTCATATTGGGCATGATATAAATCCAGAATTTCACCTGACCCAGTAGAGCCTCTGCCTGGCAGCTTGTTAAAGTGAATCCCTTAAGCTTCATAATCAATCGCCCTCCTCACTGACTCAACAACAAAACCCTCATTTAAATGAGGACATCTACTACACCAGTGTAACATTTACCATTTACTTGGTGATACAGAACTTGAATATTACCAAAAAGAGAGATATGTCACAGTCTTCAAGTTATAGAGTCATAGAGCCATACAGCATGGCAACAGACCCTTCAGTCCAATTCATCCAAGCTGACCAGATATCCTAAATTAATCTAGTCCCATTTGCCAGCATTTGGCCCATGTCCCTCTAAACCCTTACTATTCATATACCCATCCAGATGCATTTTAAATGTTGTAATGGTACCAGTCCCTACCACTTCCTCTGGCAGCTTGTGCCATCCATGCACCACTGCCCTCTGCGTAAAAAAGTTGCCCAATAGGTCCCTTTTAAATCTTTGCCCTCTCACCTTAAACCTATGCCCTCTAGTTTTAGACTCCCCTACCTTGGGGAAAAGACCTTGGCTATCCATCTACGCCCCTCACAATTTTATAAACTTCACCTGTCAACCTCCAACGCTCCAGGGAAAATAGCTCCAGCCTATTCAGCCTCTCCCTATAGCTCGAACCCTCCCAATCCTGGCAACATTCATATAAATCTTTTCTGAACCCTTTCAAGTTTCACAACATCTTTCCTATAGCTGGAAGACCAGAATTGAACACAGTTTTCCAAAAGTGGCCTGTACAGCAGCAACATGACCTCCCAATTCATATACTCAATGCACTGGCCAATAAAGGCAAGTGTACTAAGTGCCTTCTTCACTACCCTGTCTATGTGCGACTCCACTTTCAAGGAACAATAAACCTGCATTCCAAGGTCTCTTTGTTTGGCAACACTCCCTAGGACTTTAGTTAACTGCAACAATGGCAAATTTCAAATGATCACAACAGTTGATACTATAGGAGAAAAGGATGTTGATTGTTTGTCAAGTGGGCTCTGGATGACTGAGGCAATGCAATGCGGAAATTACCAGGAACTCCAGGATCCCCAAGATCCTAGATAAGTTTTAAAAATTACGGAGCTTACACGTTTTTGTGGTGCTTACAGTGGGTAGGTCCCTATGTATGAATATATGTCACTTCCAGCTTGGTTAAATGAGCCACTTTATAATTACTTTAAGTTGGTTGTTAGCACACTCAGAATTGTTCAGCAACTGCTACCCAATAACAAAATCATACCCAACCGTAAATGTTCTGTTTGGGATTTCTTAAATGCAGACCGGTTGTGTCAGAGTCAACTTGCCAACCAATCAGCACCCTTTTCTCCTGTTGTACAAATGCAGTGATTATTTGAAAGTTGACTTTTTTGCATTTGTCTGAATGCAAGATAAAAAGCCGAGGCTATATCTCTCTGTTGTCAGCAACAGCTAACCATCTGTGACACCTCTACCTAAAGTTGTCAATTGATGCTTTCCCTCTTGGGCCAACAGCTAATAAAAAAAACAAAAATAATGTTAACATGTTATAACATTATAACAATAAACAAGGTTTGGACTAACTGAATTCATTTTGCGTAACAAACAATAGTGCAGATTTTTATTTTATTAGGCTTAATTTGAACTCAGATCACAGAGGTGGAAAGATATTACATTGTAGTTGTCATCCCTTTCTTTAAAAATATTACTGTTGTTAATTCTTGCCCAGCTTTGCTACATCAATGAATGTCGAACCTCAACTCCCTGTGGTGTCAAGATGAGGAAAGGAAGAACATCTTAAAGATTACGAGTAATATTAACAGTGGGGCTTATTGCTTTCCTTGCTGCTCCTATTGGTGCCCCTAACTGCGAATTGTTGTTACTTTTTTTAAAATGAAGCAGCATAGAGGAGCCCTGTAAATGTGAGGGATTACTTGACAGAAAAAGATACCATTTTTGAAGTTCACCTATTTTGCCATTTATCTCTACATTTCACCTTCAAAAAATTTTGGATTATTGAATCAAGCATACAAAGAAAGAAATTGCGTTATATACTCCTTTTCACAATCTCAAGACATCCCAAAGCACTTCATAGCCAAGTTCCCTTGTTATTTGAATTGTAGTCGCTGCAGTATTATAGAAAATGCAGCAACCAATGTGTCATAAACAACAATGAAGTAATGACTGGATAATTCGTTCTTTCGTGATGCTGGCCACCAGGACACTGAGGAAACTTTCTCTCCTGGAGTTCCACGGGATTCTTTACATCAATTGGGAGAGAAGTCAAGGTCTTGATTTAATGTTTCATCTGAAAGTTAGTGCCTCTGACATTGCTGGCAAGAAGAACATTGGCCGAGTATGTCTAGATTCAAATATCTAAATTGGGTTCTAATCCTCAAATATCGGCCACACAGAATTAGGTGCTGGAAAAGCACAGCAGGTCAAACAGCATCCAAGGTGCAGGGAAGTCAACGTAATGGGCCGAAACCCTTTGTCAGGACCGAAACATTGACTTCTCTGCTCCTCAGATGCTGTCTGACCTGCTGTGCTTTTCCAGCTCCACATTTATTGACTCTAACTTACAGCATGTGCAGCCCTGACTGTCTTCAAGAGTTAGGTGTTTCCTGATGGAGCTGTCTATTCTTTCAGCACTGATTCTACCCTTCAGAGTACACTTACTGTCAGTTCAACATCTAACTAAAAATCTTTCTTCTTTAACTGCTTATATCACATTCATTGATACATCACCATTAGGTAACTTACTGCATGGGTAGCACAGTTTGCCGCATGTTCATACTCTGTGGGTTCATATCTTCGATTGGCAGGCACTCTGTTATTCATAAATCTGTAAAGAGAAAGAAATCTTGTTCTGTGACAAGTCTTCTCTGCAGACGATGGCTTTTTCTGGCCTTTATTAGTTTGCATTTTTTGCCATTTCCCACCAGCTCCCATTTATCTCCTCCTTTTCACTACATGACTGTTTCCCTTCAAACTGATGTAGCTGGACTCATCCATTAGCCAAGCTGCAAGTGGAAGAGTCAGACTGGACTCAAAACATTAAGATGCAGTCAGACCTTCTAAATTTCTCCAGCAACTTGCTGTTTTTACATAAATGACCTATTCTCCTGTTGGTGTGAGGTGCATAGTGTGTAAGGATAGTAGAAGTAGGCCATTCAGTTTTCCAAACCATTCAGTAAGATCATGGCAGATCTCCTCACTCCATCTTTCCCTTCCATCCCCATATCTCTTATTCTCTTAGTACATTAAAATCGGTTAGTGTCGGCCTTAACTCGGAGCATCCACAGAGCACAGTGGGAATAGATTTCTAAATACTCGCATCTTTTGGAGTGAAGAAATTTCTCTTCATCTCAGTCTGACATCCTACTCCTGACTGACACTCTGAATTCTAGTTCTAAATTCCCTTCCAAGGGATACATCCGCCAAGCATCCACTCTGCATGAGCTTCATTGATCATCTTGATTCTTCAAACTTCTAGAAAATGTAGCCCTAATCTTTGCAATCTCTATTTGTAGGTCAATTCTCCCAACTCAGTAATCAGTTTTCTGAATCTTTGTTGCTCTCCTTCTGAGGGAAGAATATTCTTCCATTGGTGAGAAGACTAAAACTGTCCATAATACTCATGGAGTATGGTCTCACCAAGATCCTATATGGATGCACTAAGACTTTTTCTCTCCTGTACCCTGATCTCCTTTTCGAAATGTCTAAAATGGTTTGCTGATGCATGTTAACCTACTGTGATTTGTATGCAAAAGCACCCAGGTACCTTAAATTTATTTTATATTCATTAATAGGATGTGGACATTTCCGGCTGAGTCAGTATTTACTGCACCTCTCCAACTGCCCTGCAGAAGCAAGTAACCTGCTTTCTTGAATTGCTGCTTGTGTACCCCGTATGCCATTAACGGGACTTTCCCAGGATTTTGACTCAGCGACAGTGAAGGGACAGTGATACATTTCCAAGTCAGGATGGCAAGCAGCTTAGAAGGGAATTGGCAGGTTCCCATCTGTCTGCTGCCCTTGTTTTTCTAGACAGAAGTGGTTGTGGGTTTGGAAGGTGCTGTGTAAGGAACATGGGTGAGTTAATATTGTGCATATTCTAGACAGTGCACACTGCTCTTACAGAACGTTGGTGGTGCAAAGTGTGAATGTTTGTGGATGTGGTGCCAAACAAGCAGGCTGCTTTGTTCTGGATGGTGCCAAGCTTGAGTGTTGTTGGAGCTGCACCAATCAGGCAAGTAGGGAGTATTCCATCACACTGTTGGCTTGTGCCTATAGATGGTGCACAGGCTTTGGGGAGTCAAGAAATATGCTACTTGCTACAGGATTCCTAGGCTCTGATCTGCTCTTGTAGCCACAGTGCAGATGTCACTAGTTTCTGGTCAATGGTAACTCCTGAGATTTTGGTAGTGGGGGCTTCAGTGATGGTAATGCAAGGGGTGATGGTTAGAGTTCTTTTGTTGCAGATGGTCATTTCCTACATTTGTATTGCATAAATTTCACTTGCCATTTTCCAGCCCAAGCCTGGATGTTATTCATAAATCTGTAAAGAGAAAGAAATCTTGTTCTGTGACAAGTCTTCTCTGCAGACGATGGCTTTTTCTGGCCTTTATTAGTTTGCATTTTTTGCCATTTCCCACCAGCTCCCATTTGTCTCCTTCTTTTCACTACATGACTGTTTCCCTTCAAACTGATGTAGCTGAACTCATCCATTAGCCAAGCTGCAAGTGGAAGAGTCAGACTGGACTCAAAACATTAGGTCTTGCTGCAGTTGGACATGGACTGCTTCAGTATCTGAGGAATTGTGAATGGTGCTGAACATGATGCAATCATCCCACTTCTGACCCTATGATTGAGGACTGATGAAGGATCTAAAGATGGTTGGGCCTAGGACACTACCCTGAGGAATTCCTGCAGAGATGTCCTGGAGCTGAGATGACTGACCAACAACCACAACCAACTGTCTATGTGCCAGGTATGACTCCAACCAGTGGAGAGATTTTCCCCCAATTCCCACTGACTCCAGTTTTGCTAGTTTTCTGAGTTCGTCACTGTTCTATAAATATTCTGTTTTTCTATCTTTCTGATTCAAGTGCATAACTTTGTACTTCCCACATAACATTCCATTTGCTGTACTTTTGCCCACTCACTCAACCTATATCTATTTGTAGTCTCCTCACTGCCTCATAGCTTACTCTCCCAACGAGCATAATGTTATTTAGCAGTTTGGGTACATTACACCATCATCTTGTTACAGCTGATGCCCAAGTACTGTTCCTTGTGGCACTCCACGAGCACATACAAAATGGTCCATTGAATCCTACTGTCTGTTTTCTGTCCATTTACCAATCCTCAATCTGTACTAATATATTACCCTAGCTCACGAGTCATAATTTTGTGTGATAGCCTTATGTGACACTGGAGGGACGTAGGTAACTTCACACACTTAGACTCCACAATCACTAGCAGTCTGTCAATGATGCTAAAATCAGCACACACATCACCAAAGCTGCAGTTGTAATGTACACATAGGGTAAGAGAGTGTGGAACAGCAGCAAACTGACTGAGAACTCCATTCTGCAGGTCTACCGAGCCTGCAATCTTAGTGCACTCCTCTGCATAGTAAAACCTGGAGAATGTTTCTAGGCAAGAGAAAACAACAGTTTCCACTTTTGCTGTCTCAGAGTGTCCTTACTTCTTTTGGCATGTCAGAGTCACCAAATTAGAGGTCCTGCAGTGATCTAATTCCATCAGCATAGACTCATTATTAAGCCATCGTTAGAGGCTCAACCATATTCATCAGATGAATGACTGCCGCATATCCAAAGAACCTTTGTATGATGAACTGGGCACTGGGACACAACCTCCTGAGCATCCAATCCTCTGTTACAAGGACACCTGGAAATCCAATATGAAGTTAGTGCATATTGACACTGACAATGTCAATGTTAACAGTCACTAATGACGGTGATCTCTAGAGGCTGACTGAAAGGTCACTGGAAGACATCAGCAGGAATGAAAAGCTCAACTGACCAAGAAGAGGACCAAGAGGAAACAGAAACAACTCCCACCCCCATCCCCCTGCCACAATTATGCACCTTCCCAGCCCATTATCTCCCTCCGCAGTACTTACAACAGAGACCATCATATCCAAGGGCTCCTCAGATAAACCAGATGATGCTTTACACACATTGGCCATCACAGCTCAAACTTTCCCTGGAAGGCTGCCACCTTTCTACTTGCTGCTTTATGAAAATTCCCCAGTGTCTACTCCACTATTTACAACATCGAAAAACCTCTAATACATTTGTGAAATGTGATTTCCCTTTCAAAAATCTATACTAAATCCACCTAATCATATTGCATGATTTTAAGTATCCCATTATATCTCTCATAATGGATCCTAGCACTTCCCTTGCTCCTACTGCCAAGTTAACGAACCTATTGTTCCCTATATTATCTTTGCTTTCTTTTAATGGCAGAATTTTGTTCGCTACCTTCTAATAAACAGAGAACATTCTAGAACCTAGGGAATTTTGCAAAGTCAAAACTAATGTTTTCACTATTCTGTAACTACCTCATTCAGAATTCTAGGAAGCAGGTTATCAAGTCTAGGAAATTTATCAACTTTTCATCTATTAATTTCTCCAGTATGATTTCTTCACTCATACTTTGATTTTTAAGTTCCTCATTTTTGTTAGATTCTTGGTTCATTAATATTTGCAGAATGGTTTTTACAAATTTTACCACGAAGGCAGATCCATCAGGCTGAATCTTACCTTTTTTTTGGCTAAGTGTGAGTCATGTCAAGTTCGGTGGAGTGATTATCACTTTGAGGCTCAGAAGGTTTTCTCACTGTATCTTAGCAAAGGGACATTGGTGAATTCCAGGGTATTAATGACAAGTCATTCTGGGAACAGCGCGTGGTAACAATGGGCAGGGTTCAGAGTTGATAACCACCACCAGGGCTCAAACAGCAATTAATGCAGCTGCACGGCAACAGTGTAACACAGCTCTCAGCCATCTGCAGGAATGCCCATTACTGTAGGATGACGGCCAGTGCCCTGTTCCACTTCCCCAGGTTAAGTGCCACCAGTTTCAATCTCTCACTCACTCTATCACTGCTATTGGACCCACCTTCCACTAAGGCTCATGCTCTACCACTCTGTGTTGCTGCAAAATCTTCCTCATTTGCCTTCACCAACCGCATCTCCCAATACCACTGACCCTGCATGCCTTCTGTGCAGCCTTAGAACACTCGCTCTGGACACCTCCCCACCTACACCCATGGTATTAGCTGTTCCACCCACTTTTATCTTCTGTAATAGCTGCCTCTTTCTCACTCCATAAGGCTACAATAGAGCAGAAAGACTCAGAATGGATAGTGCGCTGCCTGTTATTTGGCTCCTCACCCCATATAAGGGGAGGATACTGACTGTGATCACCCCGAGGTCATGCCCAAGTGAAAGGAAGAACCCATTCCTGCTTTCATGGTGTGTCTTTCCCACTGCGAATTTAGTAAGATTGCAAGCCGTGGCAAGTTGGGCTGTTAATAAGGCATTTTACAAACAATAATGACTATCAGTTGGGAACTTGCCACTGCCGAGCAGGAATCTCACCACACCACTTGAGAAAAATGTATAAGCTGTGGTAAGATGGACCTCAAATATCTCACCCGATTCAGCCACTCATCTCGCCATAGCCTAATTAGCTCAGTGCCTGGTAAGATTCCGCCGAAGTATTTGTTTACTCTCTCTGTCATTTTCTTATTCCTCATCGTAATTTCTCTTGTCTCTGCCTCTAATGGACTCACATTTGTTAATCGCT